GGCGAAAACCCCCCAGTCTCTTTATCGGCCGAGCAAGCCAATTGTTAGCCGCCACGTGTGCATAATTTAGAATTGGCCAATAGTGGGGCACAAATTAGAATACGAATGGTGGGAACTCCTTTGCACCGTGCATTTCTGAGATGCAAAAGAAATGCACCATGCAAAGAAAGCTACAAATTGGCGGGAAAATTCTCCGTTGCACCGGAGTAGTTCTCTGTAGCAGAGAACTCCACCGTGCAAAACAGCTGCAATTTAGCGGGAAAAATAATTCAGTGGTGCCAAAGCACACACAAAAAGAAAAATGACAACTTTGGGTTGTGACACACTCAACATGAGTGAACATGTGATAACCTACTTGGAGCTGAAATATGATCAGTCTAAAAGGCTGAAACATGGAGACAAAGGTACAGCATGGAATCAAATATCACTTCTAAAAATATATCATTGTCAAGGTAAAAATTGAAAATCATTTTTAAAATCACTTGCCACCATGAAATAAACCCTGCTTACAAAAAAAAGGAGAAGCCCTCTGAGACATTTGTCCAAGGCCCTTCTGCAAGTTGCATAAGATGTTCTGAATCTTTAGCTGTTCAACCTTATGACACCTCTATTGCTCATCTCTGCATTCTCTCTTTGCTTGCTTTCATACCCAGAAAGTCCTCAAACATGCAATCCAGCATTTCTGTCCTTATAATGTGTGATCTCATTCATGCTTTTCTCCTTTAAATATTACATCAGCCACTCTTCCCTCATTAAAATTGTCCCACGATGAATGGGGAAATATGGTAAATATGGTTCCTTTGGCCTCCGGTCGTCATTCAATATACATATTTCTGAGGATTGTAATTCTATATCTTGTCCATGTTTCTTGTATCAGTGTTTGTATCTTCTTCTGAAGAAAGTAGCAGGTTTTAAAGCAAAACAACTGTTCTAGATCTTGCTGCAGGCTACGTTCTGCTTCTGATAAAATTTCCTGCAGGAATCTGGCTCTGATAATTGACAAGGTGAACCTGATAGCTCTGTGTGTTTAACGACAACCCTTGCAGTCTCGGGGTGTTGTCTTAAAAGGTTTTTCAGCAGTTATTTCTAAGGTTGTATAATTGGTGTCTGAATTAGACTGCCAGGAGTTGGTCTAAGACCATCATAGAGTCATTGGGTGGGAAGGGACCTCAAGGTCACCTCATTCATCCATCTCCTGTTAATGCACCTGGCATGCTGAGTAGCACAAGTGCAGGGACAGCTGTATTTTTGCAAACACCACTTAGGACGCAAGGTGCTGCACAGTTCATGGTGCCTTCTTCCTCCCTTCAGCCCTGCTTTCTTTCATGGGCAGGTGAGAATCTGGGCCTTTATCCCAATACCCAGGTACAGTGGCAATGAGCACTTATGAAAAATGTACTTGGGGCTTATATATGTAATAGAAAGCTGGTTGTGGGTGATTGACTTGATTTTAATATCCAGTTTACATTGTGCTCAGTATTTGCATGTCACCTTCTCTAAGAGCAGAAGCAACAGGCAAACAGAGCACACTGAGAATATTTACAGCAGCAGGACCACCCTGCAACTAGAGTTATTCATTCCAACACTTGCAGATGATATAGAATAGTGCTGACATCCCAGCATTGTAGGAACATAAGCAAACACAACTACTGAGCATTTTCCCTTATATATTCTTTTCTACCTAACATTGCCCTTTCTCTTTCTCTGTGCCAGTCATTATTTCATCTGTTGATGCTGCTTTTGCACCATCCATTTCCATGACTGCACACGCAACACTTGCTCAAACATTTATTTTGCAAAAGGACATTGTTATTTTCAAGACACTTTCCCAGGGACAGGGCTCTGGGCCTGGTCCACCTAGGAGCACTAATTATTATCTCCTTTACATATTCTTTCCCCTGCCACCCCATTCACTGTTTTTCATCAAGCAAAACTGCTTCTAGGAGACATTTTTAAAGATGCGCACACAAACCTCTTCCTTCTTTCCCTTTCCAAGTTATTAAATGTGAGACATTTCTTTCTGTGTTTGGCTGATACCAGTACTTGCATTATTCTCATTTCTTCACCAGATCCTTCAGCTACACCTATTCACTGGCAGCTTACTACGCTTGTTCTTGGGATTCTCTGCCTGATGTTATTGATAGCAAGAGGAGCTTTGGGTTACAACGGTAAGTTCATAGAGGAGGAATCACTAGGTATCTGATAGGAGTCTTTGCAATGTTTTCGAGGGCAGACAATGCTTTCTGATGGTTCTAGAAGGACACTAATATGCCATATTATTTGTAGTAATTCACTCAAATACTAGTTACCTCCTCTGTGAGCTTCATGCAGTATTTAGCAGAGAATAGCACATGGTAAATGAGGGAGACAAAGCCTGGACATGAACTGAGTGAAAACTTGTTTGCTTACACATCATTGTAGTGACTTTCTTGAGACTTACTTTTGTATTCTGGATGAACAGTGACCCCATGACTCACTGGACACCAGAACACAGCAGGACATTGGGTATCATAACCAAGGGCATCGATCTGCAAGCTGTCCCCTTGATGTGAGGGATTTAGACACACGAAAGAAAATGTTCATGTGACAATGAAATAATAACCTCAGCTGATGTAAAAGGGGCACTAGAAAGGAATAGAGCCAAGGAGGTGATTTCCACAAAGCTAAGGCAGAGAGAATGTAGACAATCTCCCCACATGCCCTGCTGTAACAATTCCCCTGTAAATTGAATCAGTTCAGTTCTGGCCTGCCAGACCACTGGGGCATACATCCACTGTGCAATGTGTGTGGTCTCCTGGACACCTGGCAATTTTGTTTTTAGGCTACTGGAGCTTGCTAGGGATTGAATTTCACTCCAGCACAAAAAGACTGTGTTCTTGGAACTGTGCTATTGGAAGTATTTTCAAATCAAATCAGGGGAAGAAAAGCCCAGACCTGGATATTTCTTACAGAAATTAGATTTGTTAGCATCTTGTTTTAATGCCCGGAAGTTCTGGGAGCCCCGGGTCCATGGCAAGTCCCTAAAGATGCCATGGAAGAGCTTGGAAGCCTTTACAGGCACGATTGCACTATTTCCACCAGGTGGGCATGGAAGGAGTCAGCAAGCCTTGACCACCCCTTAGGCCTCCATATTTGCAGGTTCTCCATATGAAGCCCCTGAGAAGCAGGTGGGACTGTGAGCTGGAAGGGCACCTGGCGGGTTTCCATTGCAAACTTCTCTGAGGTCCATGAGAAGTTTAGTCCCAATGGAACGGTTTGTGTTCACTTGTGAGAACTCAACTTTTTTGTTGTTCTAATGGGAAACATGCTCCCTTAGAAGTTTCTAATTGCTATAACTGTACACTAGATCAACAACTGGGGCTTTGTGTCACAATATTACAGGGAACATCTCTAGAAATTCCTCCAAATATGTCCATATTGTGAACAAAAACATTGATGCACCTGAGCTCTACCAGGGGGATGAGAGGGGAGCTGTGAAGAAAATGGACTTCAAGGTTTGTCCTAAACATCTTGACATACTGATATCTGTTACAAAAGACACCGGTAGGCTGATCTGATGTGGGAGTCACTGAGTTGGGCACGAAGTCCCTTCACAATTCAGGTGGAAACTCTCCCATAACTACTGATGTCTTCTTAAATCCACAGTCCAGTAGAGTCATGGGAGCTGCTAGATGCAGGTGTATAAGTTCATTACCATTGCATCGTGTGCTGGGTCGTGCTCGATGGTAACAGTGAGACTGGTCTGAAAACAATGAGGTCACAACTTTATTATGGCTTTCACCACTGGTTGCTTCAGCCTTTTTAGCAGATTATATGCATTGTGTATCTCCTGTACACCTGGCTATTTCTGTTATAAGCTGCTACAGCTTTTGTGCATGTGGCTATCCTGGGTTAAACCCTCAGGTTAGTGCAAATAGGCCTAACTCTGGTGAACTCTGTGCAGCTAGGTTCATAGACATCAGCAGATAATTGGCCTGCAGCCCTGAAGTCTGTTTAGGAAATGGAAAGTATGTTCATATACTTCAAGTGCTATTCCCTATGGGCAAATCTATGTTCTCTTGTGCACTGAAAATACAACTTGAGTCATAGATTTTCTAAGCAGAAAATTAGCCCAGCACATCCCCATTTGTGGGTTGCTTCCTTAAGTGACTACTGGTTTGGTAATGTGAGCTTGGGCTGTGAGCAGACCTCTGCATTGGACAGGCATGATGTTGCTGTTGATCTGTGAGCTCCTTGGAGCTTTGGGGGAATAATCCCAGCAGATCTGTGCCAAGTAGGACAGGTGCTTCAGGCAGTTTGCTCTGTGACCAGTCAGGAGGGTTCTGCCAAAAAAAAGGTTGATGAAGCTGGGGAGGACCTGAATTTCAGTTCTGCATAAAAATCCCAAAGAATCAAAGCTTTTGATGGTTAGGAAGTTTTGTTACCCTCAGATGGGAGCACAGAGCCTGAGCCTGGATATTTCTTAACAAAATGAAATCCCTCCCTTCCAGTTTGGGGGCTTGGAAGCCACTGGAAGCCCAGCTCTGAGGCAGCTCTGAAAAGAAGCTGTAGCGGAGCCCTGACTCCTTTGCCTTCCTGCACATGGGCATCCTTGTAGTCAGGATCCTGGGCCAACCCCGAAGCTTCTCATGAATAAGCAGGGAGGTAGGTGGGCAGGTGAGCCATCAGGGAACAAAGCCAGTTTCCATTAAATCCTCATTTTTGCAATAAGAAAAAGTGCCCTCCCCACAAAATGTCCAGTAGCTGTAACTACAAATAGGATTAGTGCAACCAAGGGGTTTGGGTCACTGCAAAGGACAGAGCATTGGGTCTGTGAAGCTCCACTGCAGCCTGTATTGTAACAGGCACTGATGTGCTGTTCTGATGTTTAAGAGGCTCAGCTGGGCAGAGAGCAGGAAAACCTTGTGAAGCAAGTGGAGAATCTCACCTCTGAGCTGACGTCCTGCCAAGAACCCAGCCTTCCTGGAAGTCAAAGGGAGCAGCCCCAGGACACAGGTAAATTGTAGGCTGGAACCTGGTGTATCCACAGGGCAGGTCCAGCTATGTATGTGGGTGTCCTGGCATTGCAGAGCATGTTTTCCTCTCCCAAAGACATGCTGGCCTTGGCTGAGGGATATCCCTGGAGACGTTGCCCTGAGGTCACACTTGTGGGGAGTGGCAGAGTAAGGAGCATCCTCACTGCCTGTGCCTCCCATCCCACCTGACTGCTTTCTTCCCATCCCCTGCCTGGCAGGGAGTGGAAACCTTGGGAAAGTTGAAGATTTTGGTTCTCTGGTCTAAGGGTTGATTTCTAAATGTTTGTGTAGCAGGGCACTAAAGTGCCTGCTACTTAGAGAACTGGGATAACTCCTCAGGTGCCAGTTGCTGAGACAACTAGAGGGAACTAATGATCCACAGCAGTGTAGCCAGCTGACAAGAAGGGGCAGGGCCTGGCTCCTATATAAATCACAGGCAGAAGGCTAGGAGGCAGTTCCCTACAAGCAGCTAAGGAGGAAGGAGCTCTTGGTCATGGAAGAGAGGAGAAGCCTGATGCAGGAGCAATATCTGACACTGTTGTGAGACGAAGACCCCTTGGTAGGCTTGAGCATGGTTATAGCTGGGTGGCATTTGTTTGTGTTGCTGTTTGTAACCAGTGGTTTGGGTACAGCTACTAGGGGTCGGAGGAGGCCTCATAGGGGAACCCACAGAAGTTTGGGAACCCCAGTGCCAGAAAGGCACAGCATTTGGGTTGCACAGCCCCTTGCCCCAGAGAGGGGCAGTTGTGAAGCCCCAGAGAAGGGTGTGCTCCTGAGAAGCCCTAGTGCAGGTGTGGTGAGCCCCAGGAGAAGGGGGCAGCATTACTGAGAAGGCCCCAGAGAGAGGGTGCAGAGAGAGAGAGATGGGGCTGCAGAGAGCCCGAGCGCCAGAGAGGGCACGGAGAGAGAGAGAACAAACAATGTCAGTCACATCTGCGAGGCTTGGAGCATGGTACAGGGGTGGCTGGAGCCACGCATAGCCCATTAGTCTGTAGTGTACAAGAACACTCACTACCGTAGAAGACCTAGAGATAACAAGACAACCATGGACCAGAAGATGAAAGGCAGCCTCCCTATCAAATATACATATAAGATCAAAATTGTGGCGGGTGAGAATTGGAGGGTGCCAGTCGGCAGCTTGACACAGTAAAGGAGGTGGCAGGGGATTCCTCATTCATGGGGAATATTGTTCACCTATTGTATTTCCAGACTACAGTGCACATGGATCAGACACATAACTGGGCCCTACAACATTATCTGCAGTATGTTGGAGAACTCACCTGGCTAGACTGAAACTTGCTCTTAAGCAGGTGCAGGCTATCTATTTTTCTATGGTGGGGGTCTCTGCATTTAGGCCTGTGGTTATATCCTAGTGCTCTGCTGGTGCTCTCTCTGTCGCTGAGACAACTCTCATTCCACCTGATCTTATTGGGGTGCAGGATTTCATAACTGCAAGCTCTTTCAATCAAATATGCTGAAGATCATGGAAGAAATGCATTCGACTACCAATTCTGGATTGGATTGTCGTTTGACTCCAGAAAGGCGAAGTGAGTCTGGGCGGATGATTCAACTCTCTCCTCTGGTCTGTAAGGCTGTGTCACTAGGCCAGTGGTTCCCAAACTCTTGATACCCAGGGACACATTTTTTCTAGATTAAAATTGGAGGCACACTTCACTCTTGCATCCCAGAAGGTGTACATATGTATCTGTGTGTGTATGTACAAGGCCCGATTTTTTTTTTTTTTTTTTTTTTTTTAAAACGTATTACAAATGCCATTCCCCTACTTAGGAAATTACACCAGTGCTGAGAGATACAGTAAAAGAAAAAGATCTGTTCCCTAGTTATCTGCTGTCTGCACCCTACTGACCCCTGGTCTGTACCTTAGGGTGGAAGGTCAGCCTCTGAGGATGTTCCTGCAGGGTCCTCTGTGCTAGAGACCACCCCCATAGCACCTAGCACCTCCTGCTGGCTCCAGCACCATTGGAGGGGACAATGGTGTTGGAGCATAGATGTGGGAGGTAGGTTAGGGGGGATAAGGTAACTCATCACTGTGGTGTGTATCATTTACCATGTCACAGATATATGGTACATGAATGTATCCCATGGACACCATCTGATCTCATGTGATATATGAATTGCATGGGTAACTGGGGCCTCTTTAGTTGCCCACCTTGGGAACAGAGATCGCTCTGTGTCAGCATGCAGGCACAGGATGGGAGGAAAGAAAATGTTTTGCAACATACATACCTTTGTCTCTTCCCCAAAACTCTGCTATGTTCCAGTTGTGATTAGGATGGGCCCAGCAGAGGGTAAAGGTATATATCCTATCTCTTTGGGTAACCTGAGCTGGATACATTCCTGAGGGAGGAGGGAAACCTGCTCCCTCTGCCTATGTGACTGGCATCACATACCTGGGTGAGGGGCTTCCTTCCTGGTGGGCTAGAGTTTGCCTGGCAACTAGTAATGTATTTGAAATTAGTTGGCTCATAGCCAACGGGTGCTGGCCTCCATTGGACCAGGTAAATGAGGTCACAAGGGCTATATAAGTTACGGACCGCCTGGGAGGAGGGAGCAGCAGCCATGAGAGGGTACAGCTCCTCTTTGTCTCTGAGTCTATCTGTAAATTGCGCACACTCTCAAAATTCATGATCAAGGAACTTCCTGCCTCCAGAGGGAATTTCCAGCAGCCTCTGGATGATACTTGTGAGGTAAGCTACCTGAGATCTAACTAGATATATAGCTTGCAGTGACTCAGATGCGAGATCAAAGGCTACCCCAGCCACAGGAATTTGTGCTATGGGATTTCTCTTTTAAAGCTCTACCCTGTACCCTAGTCTAACCCTACCCTTTGTAACCAATAAAGTTCTCCTTTGTACCGAGTGTGGGAGACTTATTGGGAGTGGGTCTATATTAGCCTTGGGGTCCCCTTGGTTCGGCTGATTAAGGGAGACCACTACTTGTGCTTCTGACTGACGGAAGCATCCCAACTTCTTGAAGTGAATCAAGTACCCTTGAAGGCTACTAGGCCTGTGTTTCCCAGAGTTCGCAGAGCCAGAATTAAGTCCAGAGCCCTGGGTGGTGGCAGTGGAACCCCCAGGCTAGCGAGCGTGCTCCAGGAAGGGGGTCGGCCAGATGTGAGGCGCCCCCAGGGAGGCACTCGGAGCTTGGAAAGTGGTCGGGTGTAGTGAGGTGGGTGGCTCAATGCAGGAGTGCCCCCTATTGGCCTGTCACAGTCCCAATTTTCAAGAAAGAATGATCCGGGTAACTATAGACCAGATAGCCTCACCTCTTTCCTTGGGAAAACCTTTAAAAAAAAAAAAAAAAAAAAAAAAAAAAAAAAAAAAAACAAGGGTGGGGGTTTTTTATATAACTTATATATATATATGGATCACATTTGTGGGAGTCCAATAGGAAAAATATTACTGAAGGGCAACCAGCATGGTAGGTAGATCCTGCCTGACTAACTTTGCTCCTTTCATGACCAGGTCACAAAATGCTTAGATGCAGGACCTGAGGTAGATGTCCTCTACTTGCATTTTAAATAGGCCTTTTGTAGCAAAACCCCCATTTTCTTTTTTTAATGCATTTTGAAATGCATTCCCTCCCCTTTCCCCAATCGTTTCTGACTTTTTCTCTCCCTCTCTATTCCCTATAGATAAGTATAAGTGAGCTCAGACTTTGGACACACTTTAAACATTTTTATTTTGGTAGCAAGTTTTTAGTTTTAGATATCCACCGTTTTATATTGTATTATTATTAGGTTTGTATTGATTTTTACTGTTGTATATTGTAGTATTATCATTTTCATATTTGATTTTTATTGTTTCATATGGATATTGTATGGTTTAGGCCTGTGTTTGTAAGTGAACCAAAGTCATGTCAAGTTTCTATTTTATATTTCAAGCCTCCATCTTCTGTCTGGGCATCCCCTGTGTTGCAACTGTATGAGTCACGTACCCCTCCCATGTAAATTGGTTCCCTGATGAATGATTGAAATACAATGGTAGCACACCTCCACTGAATGGCCTGTAATGACTGGGCCATCACCTTGAATTGATTCATCCAGAAACCATGGACCTCACTCAGGAACAGAGACAAGACCAGCATTTGAAAGACAAAGGACCCTGCAAAACCAGTGAAGAGACACCCGAAATTGCACATCTCTGCATGGAGCACACATGCTCGGTAAGCCAGGGGCTGACCCTTGCCTGGGCATTCCTCCTGTCACTAGGGTCACACAAGGTCTATCCCTATAAAAAGGGGCAGTGAAGACAGACCCAGTGGTAACTCCCTCTCCATCTGGACCAGCAACATGCCACACCACTTATCCACCCAGAGACACTGCCGGCGACCCCCCCTCTGACAACATCTACTGGACAAAGACCCCTTTCCAACCTGGATAGGTAGATATTACACCTCCTCCTACAATTTGGACTCTCTCTCTCTGTCTCCCTCTCTCTTCCTGGACTTCAGTGAACTTCAGCCCCTGCACCAAACCTCTCTAACCTCTGCTGCCATGGTGTGTGTAGGTGCAAGGAAACCATTTTAGCATTGTGTCATCATCTCCCCTGTTCAATAAAACCACTGTATTTGCAACCCTGAGTTGGATCATGTTTTACTGAATCACAGTCCCTTCCCTACCTTAAACTTCAGCTTCATTCTTTCTCTTTTTCTCCAGTCCCCACCCTCTCTGCTAGTTTCCCGCTCTCCTCCTAATTCCATCTCCCCTTTTCTGCCACCTCTCAGCCTCTCCTTGCTTTCCTGCTGTCTCTGCTGCCTGCTGCTTTTCCTATGATTTTCTGCTGTTCATCTCTCTGTTTTCAGCCCCCCCACCCCACCCCTGCAGCTACCTAGCTCCTATTCGCTGTCCTGCAGTTATCTCCAGCTTCCAGCACCTACTGCTGCTCCCTGCAGCTTCTCTAGCTGCCCCAACCCATCCTCTGGTTCCCTACCCCCAGAGCCACTCTTTAACACCCACAC